GACAGCGGCCGGCGGGGCGGTTGTAGGGGGTTAAATTCTTGCCCACCTGGCTGAAAGAGTTGTCAATTTCTAGGTAGTTAATTTTGAAGTGGTTTTTCCAATTACCATTTTTCTTGAACAATATTATAAATTATTTATAATTATATGGTAATTGTAATTAATTGAAAATACAATAAATTTCAATGTTTTTAATCCAAAATATAACATTTTAATATATTTTTAATGAAAATACAATAGATTTTCAATAATATTCAATATGGTTAAATATAGGAGTATTATTTAGTGATTTCCATATATTTTATTTTTCTTGTTTGATTTAAATATTTAATGTAGAACCTCGATAAATAATATTATATTCCGATTCTGACTTGGTGTTAGTTTTAAAGTTAATATTTTATTAAATTAATAGAATTTTACTAATCCCAATTGTATTAATTTGTCGATGTTTAACTGTATAATGCAATTTCAATCTTCTTTTTATTTTCAGTCTATTGCATATGTAGGTTTAAATTATCCCACGTTTTTTAAAATAAAAAATACAAATGTACAAAAGGAAATAAAGATGGAACAAAGTTAGGAAGAAAGTGGTTGAGCAGACTCTAGTTCTTGATGTCAAGCCCTTACAATTAATTATTATTATTTGGACATTTTGCTTGTTCACTTAAAATTCCTCAAAACTCTGTGAATTTGCATTTGGCCCTCAATAACTTTTTTTTTTTGAGTAAATTCAAGTCCATTGCAAGGGGAAATAGGGGCAGGGCCGGTTCTGAGGGGAGGCGAAGTAGGCGGTCGCCTAGGGCCCCCGAATTTTTGTAAAAATTTAGGGCCCCAAAATTTTTTTTATTCCCTTTATATATTAGTATTTATTTAAAAAAATATATATTATATGTATAATTATTGCGAACTCAATGAATAGATATTGATCAACGATTTTTACTTATTTCTATAATTCCTCTAATCATGGAGCCCCGAATTATAATAGTACATTAGCTATTTATCTTTCTATATTTACACTTGTTTTAGTGCCCACTTGATGAAAATTATCGTTAAAAAAAATCGGGGGCGCTGCCCCCGAACCCCCGGAAATATATAGTCTTGCCTCTAGCTATATACCTTATAAAAACGAGTTCACATAGATTTTATCATCTTTTTAGAAAGAGTTTTAACGTAGATTGTAGAAGGGTCCCATTTTTCAACCATCTTCAAGTCTCGCCTAGGGCCCCCAAAATCTCAGGAACGGCCCTGAATAGGGGTGGGGGGACTCGAACCCTAGACCGTTACCCTATTGGTAAAGGCTAGGTACCAACTCTCCTAATGAGGGTTGGTAAATAACTACTACAAGTATAATAGGGTGGTAAATTACAAGTATAATAGGGTGGTAAATTACAACCACCTCCCAAATTAAAGTCTATTTATGAAAAAATCCCTCATTTTTGAGAAATTACATCCAGCCCCTTGTAGTTAGTAAATTTCTAACATCCACTTCTCTACAAAGGGTGCTAATTAAAACCAGCAGGTGGTATGTGTTGCTAACAATGATATACACAAACATTCGGTGTTTCTGCAAAACCGGGCCGGGGTAAAAAAAAAAAGAAAAAAAAAACCTGACGTAGATCACAAGTACAGTAGTCTTCGCAGTTCCGAAAACTGCTCAACTCGTATACTGGATCATTAAATTAAACAACCTATATACTAATCTAGACCCTCGTAACCGGACACAAAAACGAAAAACGAAAAGAACTTCGATTATTGGATTCGGAGTAGACAGACCAAAAATGATTGTGTTACAAACCTGCAACATGCAAGTATACCATCAGATTTTGGCTTCAAATCACCAAAAAAATTAAAAAATAATAATAATAATAATAAATTAAATTTTATTTACCAACCTGCTGTAACAAGACAAGGCTGGTGAAATATTCAAATGGAAACGCCGTCACATTTCGGCTTCTCCATGCCACCAATTATTATGCATGCTTTGTTCAGTTGGAGATCCCGGTACATACGGAACGAAGCCACGCCCACCAAAAACGGGGCGCATGAATGAATCATCGAATTTTCTCCAGTAGTAGTGCACAGTGCGTGTCGGTGTGGTTAATAGCATTCGTAAACTGCTCGGGCGAACCAGATTCCGACCTTCTCCACGAGTTTCTAGAGCTCCATTGTCGTCAAATAGTTCGGATACAGAATCCTGACTTTCGCCGAGCAATGGCACCGTGAAGGACATAGGCGTCCCGGGCATCAATAATCTCACTAGAGGCTTTGTTATCAAACCGAAGACCTGCATTGACACAAAGCCCAACGGAAATAAGCCAAAAGCGTCTAAAAAATCGAGTATTTTTTTTTTCGTCTTGATAGTTTTATCTCACATGTGATTAATTATCTTATGTTTGGAATTAGTGATTATACAATCATCGTATTGCGTAGGTTGCTATATCATGGGCTTGAAATCTAAACTCCAAAAAAACGAACTTGCGGGAGTTTAAGATGACTTACCACAGTGCTGAAGAGAACAACCGTAATGGTACTCGTAATCAAGAGCGCGTTCCCGTGTAACTGAGTGTGACCATCTCTAGTAAACTGCACAAGAAAAATTAACAAAGTAGGATAAGTATTTAGTAATTAGTACTAATTATTGTCAAGTTTTGTGTTAGAATACATCATAAGTATTTTATTTGAAGTTAGATAGAGTGTGAGATTTTACCTGGTTGTAAGCAAGGGCCATCGATACAGCGCCTCGCATAAGGCCGGCCCACCATATCGTAACCTATTCAAGTAACAAATTTGCAATATTAGTAATTAGTTGTCCCGTGTAAAACTTTTTCACTCGAAACGGGAATTATAGAGCGAGGTCGTACTTGCTGCTTAAAGTCGATTTTTTCAGACTTCTTGGTCAAATTAGACAAAAATGACAAGGGAAAAACGAAGGCTGCTCTGCCAGCTAGAACCAATCCCAGTAGAGTTGCACTGACGGAAAGCGAAGTTTTGGGGCTGAAAAATGAAAGAAATCATCAACTTTACGTAAAATCCCGATTTAGTTATATAGCTGAAGACGATATTACAACGAGTAATTTTCATCTTTGTGTGTATGTCTACATATACCTGTCACTGACGACCCTCCACTTCTCCATGTCGAGAGCATCCATGCCAACATAAAGAAATATAAATATCTCGGCAACAAATGACAATGTCGCGAAAGTGTGCCTGCATTTTCGTCGACGATATATTTCAATAAGAAAAAAGCGAAGATGCATATATGAAAGGAAGCAGATCTTGAGGTGTTGTCATACTTAGTGGTAACTCTCGAATTCTGCGTCACGTTATGCCAGGTGTAGTGTGACATCACAATCCCGCAGAAGAAAACGGTGAGGATGCCGCTTAAATAGAATAACTGCAGCATCAACCTTTGCGGTTAGAACGAGAGTTCAATCCAACGACTCAAATTCCTGCACTTATAAAAAAAATTCCTCGAGAGTTGTCGGAAACTTACTTCTGCCAACATATATGATAGGTAAGCCATGAGCATCATTATAGCAACTTCGCGATCGGTGGAGTGCCTGTAATTAATTCCTCGGAAATTTTAATTTCATTTTTAAATGTTTGTAAACAAATTACGGGTAATGTGACAGACCTTCCGAAATAGAGCTTCTTTATGATGTATGCGCTGAGAAGTCCAGCCTGCAGCAGAAGAGAGATGTTTGGTATTCGAAATAAAAGTACTCGAAAAACGTAGATGCATTCATCGGAGAGAAAGAAAAGGAAGACAGACGACTCACTACAACTCCCAACACAGTGCTTGAGATAAATAAATAGATAAAATTTCCGAGTAGTTTTATAGCCACACCGGCACTGAGGTCTGACAGGTCAAAATTCTGGACTGCGTTGAAAAGCACCACAGATGTTGCGTCATTTACAACGCCTTCTCCAAATACTAGACTGTAGAGTAATGGTGTCTCGTCCTGACTTAGAACCTGCATCATTATAAATATTGCATCAGTGGATAAAGACGGGAATGAAGATATCAACAGAGATTAAGTGTAGATCAATTCACCTGCAATGTGCAAACGGAGTCTGTCGCAGCAAAAATAGCTCCAATTGCTGGAAACAAGTGAGTCCCTTTAGAAGCAGGTTAAGGTGATGTTGAAATAAAAATGTGTGTGTGTGTGTGTGAGAGAGAGAGAGAGAGAGAGAGAGAGAGAGAGAGAGAGAGAGAGAGAGAGAGAGAGAGAGAGAGAGAGAGAGAGAGACCAAGATAATCTCCAATAGCGAGACCAACATTCATTCTCTCGAAGAAGGCAATAGCACCTGGAACAACAACCAAATGAGAATTATCCCTTCTTTTTTCTTCTTAGTCAAGAGCATCTCTTCATGGATTCCTCCAAAGAATAATTTTCAGTTGTGATGAAATGCACGACAATTAAAAATGAAGCAAACGTGAAAGTCAAGAGACATAGTTTCGTTCTTTGCAGAAACGACTATCTATCCTTTATATGAACCAACCGTACCTAATGATATGACGATGAAGGATATCAATGTACCAAGTGCTCCAAACAGCATTATAGTCATGAAATTCCGAAAGAACTGCTTCTTTTTAACCTGAAACCTGATCAATCGATCAAGCAGATAATGTAACTCAAAATCACCAAAAACACTGCTTTGTAGATAAAATAAACGTAATTTGAATTCACAAAGCAAAGTCGAAGCTCACCCAGCGTTAAAAATGATTGGAGGGAGTAGATAAATGAAGAAAAGATCTTCGCTGAACACCAGAAGATGCGAGCTTTTCCCTCTACTTGTAACCAGAATTAGAATTCCAGTAACTACACCCTATCGTTTAAGTTAATGCCAATCACTTAAAATGTCGAAACACATCATTAAAACCAGAAACCACTTAAAGTAAATACCATATCTATATGGAGCAATCGACTTACGATTATAAGTGCGGTGATCGATTCGTTCATCCAGCGATTTTCTTCCAATAGATGGCCGATCACAATGCACGCGCAGAGGAGCGTGACGAACAATGCAATCGCGACCACCGAAGCGTGGTCGGAGGTTGACAGATAGTTCGCCGCCGTCCTTTTCATAGTTTCCGAACCAATCCCCATTTTGTCCATAGTTAAATTCATCGAAATAATGTTCGGAAGCTACACAGATCAGCTAAAAATGGTGAATTATCCTGCAATAACAACACAATTAAATTCCGATAATTAGCCTCTATATCGATTATCGACGATTATTCTCGATTTCACGTTCATGCATTTTCGAAACCTCTCCATACAGATATATCATAAATTTGTAGTCTCAAAATCAATTATTTATAATTTTCTCGGCTTCGATTCAACAAAACTACATTAACTTCAGCAAGCCAACGAACCAACCAAAGGCAGAGAGCAAATTTACCGCGGAGTTCGAGAAAAAAGCAAATCAAAATCCGAAATTCGAAACTCCGCGCACAAATGCAAACCTAAATTGCCGATACGAAAAGTGCTTTTTTATGTTCGAAGAAAAAGCACTTTTCCGCCTAAAAAGCTGGTAGAAATGAGTCCAAGGCAACAGCTTAATAATAAAGCGGGGAAACGGAGCTCCAACCGAACACGGATTTGAATCCGTGCATTTTTAGAAAATTGCGTGATAAAGAAAAAATTGAAGAGATTTTCCAAATAAATCACGAGTTTTCAGGGCGGCTTTGAAAAGTTCCTCTTCAACGGGAAGAAGAAAAGCTGTACGTACACTACATACAGCTTGTGAGAGTGAATAACGATTGGGAATCTATTAATTATATTCTATTTATTTATTTACTATTATATATAAAATATTAAAATTAGGAAATTTACACGTGGAGCCATGGGTGAGGTTTTTGAATGATCTCAACCGTCGGATATATTTCCTTATATTTAGCACTAGGAATAGAGAAAACTGAACGGTTCAATCCAAATAAATAATTTCATAAATATGAGATTATTCCTTTTTTCTTTTTCTTTTTTGGATATTTTTTTTTTTTTTGTTAATTATGGCTTTTCTATTTGTACATAAGTTTTAATTTGAATTTCTCACTCTGTCGCTGACTAAATACAACTTACTAACAACTATTCATTACTGGACATATTTATTAATCTTTATTAGGAATATACTTCATATGTTCTCAAATAGGTATCGTTTTTTCATCTTTACACAAATTTTAAAAATTTCAATAAAATATATCTTGATTTTAGAGAAATATAAATTGTTAGACTAAAACACGTACTTTTTAATTAATGCGGTGAGTGTTGGCCATTGAGAGTTAATAATTAATAGGATAAATTACAACCACCGCTTGAGGTATGGTCAAATTACGAAATATATCAACCTTTTCAATCACTGAGATTCTTCGGACGAGAAGAGATCTTCGCCTACAATATCAAGAAAAGCAAAATTCATGAAACAAATTAATGTAAATTGACAAGAGGGGGTAGTTTAATTAGCTACTAACACCGTGTTTGGGATTAGATTTGTGATAAACAAAGAGGAGTGTTTGTCACACAATGTTCAGTACGAGGCCGACACTGTTCGCCTTTCTTTCGTCATCATCAAAGCCGATGTTTCATGGCATTACACCGATGACGACGTTGATCTTGAGGTAACAATTTTTTTTTTGTTTCATTAGCTGGTTTGTATGTATTGGATTTCTTGATCTTGTTTGATTTCAAAATGTGTGTTGTGTGTTCAACATGAGTTGTTAACTTGTTTGTTGATGAATATATCTGTTGATTATGCTTGCATTGGATCTGCAAAATTTATGAAAGACATGATACTTTTGTTCGAGTTCTCCATAAAACGATGAAAAACAGGGCCTAATTGTAAGATTCTTTAAAAAAATTCTATTATGCTTAGCTTCTAGATTGTTACTAGAATGTAAATGCTTTATAGAACCACTCTCAACCATAGAATTACACCAATCATATCGTCAGTTTGGGAGGTGGAATACTATATATAGAAGTAGAATTTTATTTATATAACAACCAAGTAAATTTGTAAATTCAGTAACAGCTATATGTTCAGTATATCGAAATCAAACATAAAAGAGATCTTTCTAAATATACTTAGAGCCTCCCAAACCGGAGGATTGACGAAACCTGAAACTATGTTGCAGATTTTCGTAACAGGGTTGTTTTTACACTTCTTCTGTCTGTAGAATATAACATTGCTAAGTATATGCTTACGTGATGACATGAAGAAATCTCTTTTGAATGGTTTATATGTTATCATAATATTAATTCGAAAAGAAAAAACTAAAATTTTGGAACCAACAGCCGGCGGATACAAATTAAAAGAAGAGATTCTCATCCTTTAAAATTTTGTTACAATCTCCAAACCATATTTTCGCATTATAATTGTCATTTATCCATCCATTTCAAGGGTATTTGAGTAATTTAAATTCTCAACTAAATCCTAATATCCTTATTTTCCTAATAGACGAAAAAAACAAACTATTTTAATAATTTCAGAAAAATAAAATTATGTTTATTTTTTCTCTCTTAAAGAATTGTGCCCTGGTCATTGTTATTTGGGGCTAAGTGTAACCGTAACAAAAATTTTGAATAGGTAATTTGTACCAGGAATCGTAGTAAAAAATGGAAATTTTATAAGGGATGGAGTCTATTTTGTCCTTATAAATATTAAAATAGACTTATTTTGTTAATAAATAAAAAATTATACACGTCTGACTACACTAAATCATGTCCAATTAATTATGTCAAGCAATTTACAGTTAATTATTGTAATTTTTAATAAAATTTAATATGATATGTGATTGGATCCGTAAATATCATGATCATTTGTCTGATTTTTCAATTCACAAAAATTTTCCAGCCGTGTTATTTGCACTTTCAATAAAAAAGGATAGAATAAAATAATCCAATAACATATTACTAAAACAATTTAGCATTTTATTTGTAAAATGACACTTTTTTTTAGTTTGTATTAGGACTCATTATTATTATATAAGTGATATGTCTATTGGTACAGCCCAATAGACCCATATTTACTGGGCCACATACCCAATTTAATAGCTATTTCTACGAAAGTCCAATCACATCCGAATAAGGTTGAGCCCGATAAATTGATCTCGGCCCAATCAATAAAGTATAAATACAACTTAAGTTCGTTTAATGAAGGTCCGCTATTATTATTCAATCAATTCTTCTATTCGAATTCTCTCTACAATTACCGATTATCCGCACGTCTGACTTGACTTGAGCGTCGGAGGGGTTTCCGCCGGATCAACCCCGGGCCTAGTTCACGTGTTTTTTGTTCGCAGGTATCTCAGGGCCATCTAGCACGTTAGAAGTGATCCACTTTGCTCTCCCAGCTCCCTCGATCTCAACTAATTAAAGTGATATATTTTTAGCATCATCACTAAGAAATTTAGTTCTAAAATACAACTATTAGCATTTATTATTAAATATTAATTTTTAACGAAAAACATTTTCAACAAATTAACTAATACGGTTACTATATAATTAAAAAACCACACAATTTTTTTTCTCAAGCATATCCTTTAAATGTAATTCTTCATTTGCCATTGAAAAAGTAAATGGAAAAATTAACGTACACAAGAATCTTCTCATGCCCCGAAAAAAATAATAAATTTTTAGTCCGAACAGAAATACGGAAATAAAACATAATTTACCTCTCCAACCGAATCGATTTTTTTTTACCGCCTCGAAAAATAAATTTGAACCTCCATGCACCAAACGATATTTTACATGCTAATCTTTCTCATTATTCAGAATCAAATTAATTCTTATCTTTTCGATGTTCCTTCTTTGATGGCTTCGATTTTCTTCTAGGAGCACCACCACCCGCAGAAGCGGGGTCCACGAGTGGGCCGGACCAATTTTGAATGGGATCTTTAGCGTACGAAAAATTCATAGAGGTAAAAGGTACGTCGGGTGGGTCAAATGTTGGGTCAATGTGATGCGATAATCCTAACGGAAAACCAATTCCTCCATCTTGGTGTGGCGGAGGAAATTTTTCGCTCTTGCTCTTCGGATTTCCGTGCGTAATCAGTCGTCGCCTCTGTTTTACATCAGCAAAAGTAAGTTTATATAAATTCACTAAAATTAATAGTAATGTTTCATGAACAACAAAATGTGGTGAAATGAAATATGATGTATAAGGGGATTGAAAGTTTTATTGCATTCAGCACCACTGTGTTTTTTCTAAATGTTAAAGAACCCCCCATGTTATTTTATTGGCAAAAAAACCCCTCGATTCAATTTTTTTAGCAAATTACCCCAAGAAATAACTATTTAAACTCTACTATTATAAAGGCAGTACTCACAAAATGCAGAGGGCAAATTCATGTTAATTTGTTATTCGTCAAGAGCAGTAAAAGTGTTGTACGATTTCGATATTAAAGACTCGAAAAAAGACGGTTAAATTAGAATATACGGAGTGAAGTATATTATTTAGAAAGACGTACATCGATATTCGTTTGCAGCTCAGCATTCGCTTCAGGAGCAGGGTTCGCCCGCATCCCCCTATCACGTGTTCGTGTTTTCTTCGCAGCATCGGTCTGAGTTTTACCAGCAGCTCGTAACCTACAATTCGCACAATTAATCAATTAATTAGGTCTTATTTAATATATGTTTGGTTACTGCAATAATCCTTTGAACCGGCCCGTAATTAATGGCAAATTGAGCACTTAACTTGGCTTTGTTAGTGATTACTATCAATTTTCTTTTCTTTTATTTTTTCCAGTTATACAATTGACTTCTCATAAGACTACATAATCTTATCTTGGAAACGAAACGAAACGAAACGAGACCCTAATGAATGCAAGGCAATGTAGGTAAAACGATTATTCTCCGTACCTTTGAGCTTCTTCATCACGGCGCTTAGCATCCATCTCCTTACTCGGAGGATATTTCGGAAGGCTAGATGGATCACAAGCATAAGGCTTCGTTGTAAAGAACTGTAATAAAAAAAAAATAATAAACCATAATCCCATAAAATAAAAAATTAATAATAACAATAATAATAATAATAGAGAGGTTTACCTCACTATTTAGTGCATCTGTGGCAGTTAAACGGTCACTTGGATCGATTGCAAGTAAAGTGTCGATTAAAGGCAAAGACGATGACGGAAAATCTTTAAAAGTCTCTTTTATGCATCGTTTATATGACTGTTGGGATTTGAATATGGTTGCATGCGGAAGCTTCCATTTTTTCCAATATTCTTCCGACGGAGAACCGCATAGCTTGAAAATCCTGTGCAGCTGTTCCACCTAAGCACCGTTCGTAGCATTATAAGTATGCATGTAAAGCTACGAAATTGCAAAATACCATAACGAAACAAAATACAAAGCAGTGGCTATAGAAAATACCCTAAGGCCACGTTTGGTTGGGGAGATTAGCCATGATTAACTAAATAATTAGACCTTGTTTAACATTTGGTAAACCCAATTACTTCTCGGGTTGACTCGAAAATATTATGTTATCCTTTTAGGGAGTTTTTTTGTTGGACGTTCTGGATTTCGATAAAAATAATTGGGTTTTCACTTTTCATTATATTGTTTAACCTTATCTTAGCTGATTCTATCTTGGCAACCAAACGAGCCCTAAGGTAACTTCAAGATTTCCTCTATAACATAACGAAACCCCAAATTTACCCAAGAAAACAATTGCACCATAATGCAGTAGAACAAAACGCATACATAGGCTGCTACAATCATTCAATCAATTTTCATTTTTCTGTTTTTTTTTTGGCACAACTTACTTTTTTCGGTAAATGCCAATAAATTTCGTTACCTCTGTTCTCCCAGTCATGATGGGTTTTCCGGCAAATAGCTCAGCTAAAATGCACCCGGCGCTCCACAAGTCAACACCTACGCCATACTCGGTCGCACCAAAAAGCAACTCAGGTGGCCTATACCAAAGAGTAACCACACGACTAGTCATAGGGTGTTTGTTATTAGGGTCAAAAGTCGAAGCCAGTCCGAAATCGGCAATCTTAAGAACCCCTCCATCATTAATTAGCAGATTCGACCCTTTAATATCACGATGCAACACATGCCGATCGTGACAGTGCTCGAGGCCAGACAATAACTGATTCATGTAGCATTTTACCTATTGTAATCAATCAGATTAAAAACATTAGAAATTTAGACCAAGCCCGATTTTATTTATTTATTTATTAAAAAAAATAAAAAGAGAGACAAATCCCACCTGAGGCTCGGTAAACTTGACACCAGGGCTCGAAGCAAGACCAGCCAAATCATGCTCCATATAATCAAACACGAGGTACAAACTACACGACATTCTTGAAGTGACCAATCCTTGCAATTTCACAACGTTTGGGTGATCCAATCGGCGTAAAATCAGTATCTCTCTAGCCATAAACCTCACACTTTCGGGTTCCAAGTTATCGAATCTAACCTTCTTTAGTGCAACAATGTTTCCCGTTATCGTATCTCTAGCTTTATACACGTTACTATATGTACCTTGTCCGATCTAAAGAAGCACAACCATAAATAACAAAATGAGCTCAAGAAAGAATATTAGGACATAAAATAACATTAGGGCAAAAAATAAAACATAAAAAAATAAAAAATCTTGCCTTGTCAATTTTTTCGAATGAATCGGCTCGACGTGGGGTCCACCCATTGATGGCCTCTCCTGCAACAGCAGAGAGCCAAGACGGCCATCCGGCAGCTACTTGCTCGCCATGGATGTGCTTAGTGGGATTACTTAATCTTGGATTCGGCCTCGACCTACGAGACCTCTCACCTCTCGGCCGAGGGGCGTTTTCGTCTTTTCGCTCCTCGTCGTTTTTTCCGGCCCCATTTTGAACTCCACCTCCACCATTCTCCTCCGATTTACTTGCCGAGTTAACTACTACTTCTTTCTCTCTCCCGATTGATGGCACAGATAAATCTCTCTCTCCTCCATTAGCTTTCTGCCTCCCGACTACGAGTTCACCACTAGGTGGGCCGGTCGATCGAGCCTCTTTCCCGAAAACACACCCCATTTCGCAGAAGCACTACCCCTCATTTCTCACAGCATAATACACTATTGCACCACATCCAGTACCCCTCCAAAGTATCACAAATGCCTGAAAAAAAAATCGAAATTCCACAACGTACGAAAAAATCGAACTCCCACAGCAGATCAATCAACTAGAACTTAGTCAATTTGCACCTGAATAAATTCAATAGCAAGGCACCAAAATAACTTAAATTCAAGCAAATAACTCAAATGTAATGCAACTAATCGAGCAAATAAGCATTCAGATGTACATTTTCACGACGAATTGATTCAACACACTGTGATTAAAAACAACTGCCGCAATAAGAAACTGAAATCCCATAATTCAAGCAAGTCAAAAATAACAAGCTAACATAGCTACATGAAGCCAAAATCATAGTACAACAGTAGAAAGTATTTGTAGTAGAATTCATAACACTTACTTTTTTTTTTTCTTTCTTTTGCTTCTGGGATGGGAGAAGAAAATATCAGACAGTAAACTAAAGTTCGCGAAATCGAAATCCAACTTTCCAGTTTGGTCAAAAAAACGAAAGTAGAGAGAAAAAATAATGTATATTTGTATTGCGTTAGTGTGAAAATGCGAGTGGGGAAAATGATCAAACAGCAGATCTGTGTGCTTGTGAGTTGTGAGTGTACGATTTGCTCTTATTTTCGTCAAATAAAATAGAATACTTGAAGAGAGAGAAAGTGGAAATCTAGAGAGAGAGAGAGGGGAGGAGAGTTTGACCGAAAAATATATTACAGGTGTTTTTAACTTAGCACTTATGATTTATGAAGTCAAAAAGAATTTTACTCTTTAACTTTTACTCTGAACGTATAAAATACCATTGTGAACTCTAAAATAACTGAAAACAAGTCCATTTTTCTTGGAGATATCCGGTGGAGGCATTTTTCGACACATACAGCTTGACGATATCCGTGGAAAGCGAAAGGAGCTCGGGAGCCGTAAATATTTGGGAGGAGCATACCAACCTTGTCCCTTCTTTCTTGGAGAAAACGTGTAAACGTATGAAAAAGTGGACTGACGAACGTTGTACACACTAGTAGAGCCATGATTTAAAGTCTACGGGGCCAAATGTATTAAAAAAAAAATTATGATGGAAGGCGCTGTTAATGATATTTATATATAATAATAAAGATTTGAGAAATGCGCGGGGGGTCATGGCCCCCTCTGGCTATATGCTGGCTCCGCCACTGCTTGTACACATAATTACATATCAATGTGTACGTGTTCTTATTTTTATAGATAGTTTAAAACCACCGTACGTGTTACACCAAATGTAGCATTTCATAGAAGACCGAGTTGAAACAAGTAGTCAACTGTTGACTCACCTGAAAAAAGTGGACCTGGATACTTCTAGTCCGGTCCAAGCCCAAATAGACTCCCCACCTTCATATGGGCCATTTTGGGCTCCTTCCTCCTAGCCCATTAGACTTGATGGTCCCAAAAATATTCATATTTGTAAATTCATATTTTTCTTAATAATAATAATAATAATAATAAATATGATTCGAATATAATGAATAACTACTCAGTGTCCCTGTCGACAATTTCCTACTGTAGATTGAATTCTACATGGTATTGCAGGATAAGGAAAAAGAATCCTATATATATGGTGCGGTGATCCACCACCTGTTTGATTGTTTGCCTAAAAGAGTTATAATACTAGGTTATTACGATTCTATCTATCTCCTATATACATATATATTTTATATGTATATATGCACACACATGAAACAGCAGCATTAAAATAATCTAGGTTAAATTTGAAGAAGAATGGCTGGAAAAAGACGAATAACCAACAGTAATCTTCCTGAAGAAATAATTGAGGAAATTTTGTATAATCTTCCGATACAATCCTTATTGAGATTCAAGTGCGTTTCGAAATCATGGTTGTCTACCATCTCCAGCAAAGCATTCATCAAAGAGCACCTCAAGAGATCGATCGCCGAGGACGACAAGGCAGGTTTGACCGATTTGACCCACCACAAACTCCTCTTCACCCGTAAAATTTTGAGTCGAGTACTAGGAACCCGTAAAATTTTGGGTCCTAATCGCACCGGATTTTCGTATAGTCTAGGAACTTCTTCCCTTGGTAACGAATCTAATATCGTCACACCTACTTTCTACGATTATCCGATGCCACGCTTGTGTTTCTTGATCCTGGGATCGTGTAACGGGCTAGTACTCATGCGCTATAGTATGCGGACCGAACCGTTAATTTTATGCAATCCTTCAACTAGAATACCCAGGGTCATTCCATCTCCCCCTTTCGACTCGCCGGTTCCTCGAGAACGTCATTTGCCCCTGTTTCGAACCTCCGCCCGGTTCCTTTTCGAGATACGTTCATTTGATTCGTTTGATTGATTGTAATGATAATTTAAAATACGGGTTAGGGTACGACGAGTCGAACGATGATTACAAGGTTGTCTGCATTAGAGACACCAACGTACGAGAGCCCCATCACTACGAGACGCGCATGTACAGTTCCAAGGCAGATTCTTGGAAGAAGATCGAGAGTTACGACAAGCGCTTTCACAGTATTTTGTGCGGCAAGTTTGTGAATGGAAGGCTGCATTGGCTGGCTAGGTTCGATTCAGACGATAGTCATCGTGGTACTATAATCTCCCTTGATTTGGCGGACGAGAAATATCGAACTTTGTCTTCAAATAGTATTGCTAATTTTCAAACGGGAACTGTCGTGGAATTCGGAGGCTATCTTGGTTTGTTGAGTGTAAGGCGTGATAGGCATTTGGATTTATGGGTTATGAAGGAGTACGGCGTGACAGAATCTTGGACTAAGATTTGGACAAAATCGGACTTTGTGGATAGACCTGATCTTAGCGGTGGACCTACAATACCCGTGTGTTGGACGAAGAATGGAGATATCGTAATGGTTCGTGGATACGATGTACTTGTTTGTAACGGGAGAAATATACTGCGCAAGTCTCGAGTTGATATGATTGGTGATAGAATCGACTCCATTGTCTACGTCGAAAGCTTAGTTTCACCATTCATTCATCAAGAGTAGAAATATTGTTCTTTTCTTTATTTTTGAATTTTTATTTTTTATTTTAATTTTAATTTTCGAACAATGAGAATATATAAGAATGTTGGTTTTGTTTATAGTAATATTCGTTGGATGTAACATAGATCATATTGAATTTACAATGACTCTAATACTTAATAAACATTCAAATCAAACTCCCTCGGAATGTGATTGTGTAAACTAAATTGGGGGAAATGAATTCTTCTGGATTTCTGAGCAATTCTTATTCAGCTTCTTCGCGTTTTTCATTCGCCGGGAGATTCAATCGGGCCACCGTCGCGTCGCCACATTATACGGCGTCGTGTTGGGTGTCCACTTCGATTTCGTTCAAAATCAATGCTTCGTCCACCGTAGGTATCATCGTCTCCTTTTCTCTACCCCAACCACGCAGACGCAGGTATCTGTGTGTGTCGATTCGGTTGTTATCTGTGATTCTTCCATTTGTTTTAAAGTTAAGTGGAATTTTTAGTTGCTAAATTGCGTATTAGTGTATACTGCACTGTGATTTTGGGATTATATGCTTTGATTTGGCAGCTGTGCCTGTGATTGATGATTTGATGATTTACTCGTTAAATTAAAGCATAATGTATATTTTGCTACTGAATAATAATGCTGAATTATATTTTAAAAAAAAATTAAAATTGTTTGTATGTGGCTGAAATCTTTGTTGCTAAACTGCGTATAAGGGTATACTGCATTGTGATTTTGGCATTATAAGTTTTGATTTGGCAGCTGTCACTGTGAGTGGTGATTTGATGAACTAATCGTTAGATTAAAGCAAAATGTATATTTTGCAACTGAATATTAATGCTGAATTATATATATATATATATATATATATATATATATATATATATATATATATATATTTATAAAATTTAAAATTGTTTGTATGTGGCTGAAATCAATCACATGATTGTAATGCGAAGGTGTTAACATATTCATTGAAGTTAATTCGACTTGACAAATTTTCGATGCGAATAATTACGAATTGAAATCTTCATTCCGCAGGCCTCGTCGGAGAAAATGATTTATTAATAGTTGGGCCAGGTGTGCTTTATTTGTTCCAACAGGAGGAAGTTTTTGGGAAAGTATTATTTCTTCGAGCATTTTACTATTCTTTAAGTGCTGATGATTCTTCTGTAATAGTATTGTGTATATGTGAAATTGGATGTCTAGATTCTGAACAACTTGTGTGTGTGTGTGTGCTTGTTTTTACTGTGGCAGGAAAATCACGGGTCTCGAATTTATGGGCAGCCTTTGACAAGCAACCATCATGAAGAGTTAATAACAATGGGGATTATTCCATCTCTTAAGGGAACTAAATTGACTCATAAATTTCCTAATATTATTTTTTGCGCTCCCCCGTCTCGAAGTCCAGATCATCCCGGTGAACTGAGGTATGCAAAAGTATATCCCCCAAAATTATGAAATAATTTTAGAACTTTTTAAGGCGTGCCATATGGTTTGTGGCTTTCACGGCAATATGTAGACGAACATTTGTTATCTTAGCTCCCCTTACCTGTTCCATAAACACGTTTAGTCGCCGCACAAAAGAGGAAAAAGAGTGTAAACTTGTTTCCTGACTACTTGTTTTAAGGTTTTAGAATTTGATAAATATCACCCTTTGCTGCTGTTGATACCCTTATCCAAAACACTTATTTTATCTTCAATAGAGATACATTATGATTATTTTATCGTTATTTTTTTCATTTCTTTACATGACACTCCAATAGTGCCAAGAATTCTACACGGGGTTGTTACGGAAAGTAATACGTGTCTTCTTTCATGAAACAAGCATACACTAGTTTAATAACCACGAATTCAAAGAAAAATACAAAATACGTAGCTACAAAGGGGCACGGTAAAGCAAAATAGTGAATCCATTCACCCCGATCCACAAAAGCTACGTACCCAACCACTCTGGAGAGTGGTCATCTAAGAAGTGGTTGACATGGCACACCCAACGCCGGCCGTTCCTTTCTTCGAAGGACGTCGCAATGTGCACCTCCATGCTGTCTAGGTTGTGTTCTGTAAAAGTTCCGGCTGCCTGAAAATAACAATAATTTAATAAATAAAAAAATTTATTTTGCAACATGAACAGGATCACCCATTGATGAGAATTGATCAATGAAAAAATATTTGCATACAAGACCGCATGTCATTTTCGTTCTTGATATCAAGAAAGCATAAATATTTCGTTCTTGATATCGAGAAAGCATAAATATTGGGTCTCTGTTACGGTGGCTTAATGCAAATAAATTCTGTTAAGGGGAAGAAGCGTGTGTATATATATATATATATATATATATATATATATATATATATATATATATATATATATATATATAAAGTAAGGTTGCTCCTAGTAAAACCTAGAAAAAAATTTCCGCTCATTTGATGTTATTAATACCCGCTCATTTGATCTTATTAATAAAAGTTAGGTTACTCCCGGTAAATCCTAGGAAATTTTTCCCGCCCATTTGATAGTTTTGTTATTTATTTATTTAATTATTTATTTTTATTATTTTAATTCATTTAATATAATCAAGTTTAATAAACCCATTAAGTATCCAGATTTTAAACACTAGAATAAAAATCCCGCTCAGTTATAATTGTCATTTATTTATTTAATTAATTTTATTGATTTATTATATTTAATATAATAAAGTTTAATAAATCCGTTAAATATCCCGACTTTGTGGCCCCAAATCTATGTATTTTTTTCCACTAAAATTGTCATTTTACTTAATATTAGTTTTATGAAAAAATTATTTAATTGTTTAGAAAAACATTTGGTTCTTATCTTTTAATAAAAGTAATGTTGTTCATGATAAAGTCTTATTTAAAGACATCATTGATTTACAGTAAATTTACTTCTACATTAACTGAGATAAGATACATATACAACTACCATATTACATCAATAACATAAAATTAAATCAATAAATATTGTAAAACAAGTTTATGGATCAGTGATTATCATCAATGCATATATTCAAACATCAAAATGAATTGAAACTTCAGTTTTGTCGTTTAAATTGAACTTTACTTTGTATTAACTTTACTTCAATCTCGTGCATCGCATGGGCCAAAAATCTAATATATATATATATATATATATATATATATATATATATATATATATATATATATATATATATATATATATATATATATATATATATATATATATATAAAAATATATATATATATATATATATATATATATATATATATATATATATA